GAATGGATTCTCACATCTACAATAATATCTTAAAGATAGTTAAAGATGTTTCTTCTTCATCTTCGAGAAATGCTGGTAACATTCCATTTTGAATTACAGAAAAGCTTATTTTCCACCTTCCTACATCAACAAAGGGAAGAATGGATGCAATTTGGCAGAAATTATTTATCCCACTAGAACTAAAGAGCGATCAAATTCAGAGATCTACTGTATAAGGGACAAGTACATTTAGACCTCATCCTCAAAAAAGGAATACAATGTGTGGAAAGTAATTTAAATCCCTCTGCAATGTCAAAGACATACAGAATAATCTTCTTGAATTATACTTTAAAATTGACTTTTTTACAAATGTGGGACCAAAGTTCTAGAATTGAATAACAGAAGCCAAAAAACACCCAATTTGATTGTACCTCCTGCCATACATGATGGTTGTTCCATCAGAGTCTAGCTCTGTGTTAGCCTATTGGAGATAGCAGATCTTTGCGAAATTAAATTAAATATGAAAGTGGCTCCAAGAAAAATTATGGACTCTGCCTTTGGTATATTTTGTTTTGAACTTTTGGAAGTTCTGCATTTTAAAAATACTGTAGTTAGGTTGACATTCATAAACTCTTAGCTCCTGTCTTAGTTACAAAACTTTGTTATTGTTTGTTTTGTATCATAGCCTACATCACAATGAAGTGGATTATTTTTCAATAATGATCACCTACACATTCTTTAACTTTTGTTTTACAGAGGCAAACCACTGAATAGTGTATACATTTGTCTACACAATATACATTTTTACATATATTACTTTATGAATATAAAATATTAATATTTGCTAGGAAACATCTATGTGCATACGTGTATATTTGAATGTATATAGGTGAGTGAAAAGTACTGGAATCGTACACATTTTTTTAAATTTTTATCTTCATTGAACATGTTATTTTTCATTTTGCATTGTTTTATAAGGAGCATAAATCCTTTCGTCTATGTGTGTATTTTATGAGTAAAACAGGTAATGAGAGCTTCCATGTGATAAATCAGAATCTGAACAGAGACAAAAGACATGAATGCGAGCAAGACCCATGAAGCATTGCAGATCAGATCAAAGGCACACGCTTCTTCACACCCACCTGGCCTTAATGGAATGGAATCGCTGAGTTGTGATTGAATAACCCCATGCAGTTTTCAACAGCAGGCACAAAGATCTCTAGGATTACATACAAGATGTCTACAGTTTCTGTCCACACTATGTGCTTCATTTGGTCAAGCTGTGTGCGATAAAACCATACTAGCTGTAGAAACGTTGCTCAGTGTTCTGGATTATTATTGTAGAAATCAGTTTCACAGATGTCAGTCAAAAAGCTGTCAGTTAAGAAGCCTCTTGAAAAAAAGAATTAGTACAGACATTCATCATTGTGCTAAAGGCTTTCTGCCTCTTAAATGGCATTTATCTGTAGAATAGAAATGTTATGTATTACTATATTTGCATTGACAATCATTTCAAATATACTTGACCAGAAATCATATATTATTGATCCATCCAATAAAAAATAAAATGAAAAACTGAATGAAATGCAGGTAAACAAATGTTCAAATACTAACTTTACGACATCAATAAATTATGGTAACATACAATAATATGTTAAGAATACAAGAATATGTTAAGAAAATAGCAGACATATAAAGATGAAGCTGAAAGCATACCAGAATGAGATTAAGGTGCAACTCTTATATAAATAAGCACATTTTGAAGTTCTTGTTTTGGAGTAGAATAAATTCTCAATTTGCAACTTGAAAATATTTGGCAGATTTTGGGGGACTTTATGTTATTATGGCTCAATTTCAATTTTCTTGGGAATTGCACTGTTTTTAAACTGAAGCTGAACTTCTGAAATAAGGTACTATGTTCAAGAATGCAGAATTAAAAATAACAGAATGTTGGAAGATCACCTTCACAGTACTGAAACATGACATGTTTTTCTTTCTTTAGCAGATTTGTAATTTTATCTTCCAATTTGTTGTGTCTACATTCAAGGTGACATACTGTAACACAACCAAAGGATTATAGTGGTGATTGTAGTGCTTTTTATTGAAAATAGTCCTTCGTTTACCCAACATCAGACTGATTTAGCTGAATAATTTGATTACCGTTGAAAACATAAAGGCTACATATGATTAGCTTCTGTTCTCTCAAAATAGAAATGATTCTGGCAAGCATTTTACTCACAGGTCAATAGCTGTCCCCCAGACACTGTGAGGAACAATAACAAATAGCAAAATAAAAATATATATAATTACATTTTCCATCATTATGAAATAAGACAGCCATCTGTGTATGCCTAGAAATAAACATTTTGTATTTAAGTTAGACCATACAGTAATTCACTTATTTACAGGTGACATTTGCAAGTCTGTATAAAATTGATTAAATCATTTTAAATATAGTTACCTAAATCCACATTTTGATGATGCAACAACTTAGTTTTAGATTTCCCCTTTTTGAACCATGTGATGCTTACATTTTTTTCCTGCAGTATTAACAGTTATTAAAAATGTATCAGGTAAGCAGAAGTGCTGTTTCTTATAGCCCGTGCAAGATTAAGTCAAGGGAAATCTATAAAGCACTCACTAATGACTTACACTCTCACTCACTCTTACCTGATCATTGTAACCTGAAATCTGCAGTTTCCGGGCCAGCTACGTATCCCCCTGCTCTTGGATGCGTCTACCTAGGCACCGATTGCTCTGGGAGTTAATTACAGTGAAAGACAAACAGAATTACAGTGAATGTGTAGTAAAGCAAAGTTAAATTATGTGAAAGTGCATTTTATACCACAAAACAAGAAGAACTTCTTTACGCAAAGGGTTGTGGGACTTTGGAACAAGTTACACAATCATGTTGTTGAAGCCAATACTTTGATCCTCATCAGTTACTGTAGCTACTAAGAGCCGGCTGGGACTCTCATTTTTTTAAAACCCATCTCATATTCTTATGTTCCAGTTGTGCTCAAACCAAGGTAAGGCAGAAAAGTACAGTAAGTAAATCCTGACATGCAAGAAACTATGACAAAGTAAATGTATGGTACAAGCATGGTAAAACAATGGGAAAAAAATCCAAAATAAAACACAAATCTGCCATATTAACATTTCCAAAATGTATGCTGGGATATCTATACATATTTGTTTATACATTATACAATAGACAATATGGAGGTCTGGCATTGTTTAAAGAATAATTTAATTTATAAGATGTAACCAAACAAGGAAAATGCATTGAATGGATGTCCAGCTCTAGTCTGATACTTTTCATGTAAATGCAGATAACAGCAACAGAGGGTAAGATTTCCAAAAGGAATTTATATAATAACATTATACCCAGTTTATACAGTACATTTAGTTATGCAAAGCATAGGGAAATTTCTCCATTCATCTTTACCCTTAGATCATGTTGAGCTGGAGCCTTATGTGGTTGGCACACAGCACAGTACAGGACTACACTTTGGATGCGACACAACACCATCACAGGACACACACATACACATTTCACATTAATTCTCATGGGGGGTGGGGTTATTTACCTTGAAAGCCTGTCTTTGGACTGTGGGATGAAACTGGACCACCTGGAATAACTTTTAAAAGTGAGCTTTTAAAAGCACACACCCCAGCTATAGACTGTATGATCCGCTACCATCTGGAAAACGGTACCGGAGCATTCGGGTCCGGACTACCAGACTCAGAAACAGTTTTTATCCCCGCACTATCAAACTATTAAACTCCCAGCCTCTCTCACTCTCACCTCACCTCTCACCTATGATCTGAACCTCACAGTGCCTTCTTTCTTACCAAAAACCCAAACATACATTGAAAATCTACCTCTACCATACATGTCAAACGCTCACTCCCCATAATTTCTATCCCTTTATTTCATTCTGTTGATGCATGTTTTTGCACATAACCTGTTACCTTTTTGTTGTTTTGTACATTGCCTGTTGTTGTTTTTTGCACATTGCCTGTTGTTGTTTTTGCACATCACCTGTAGTTGTTTTTGCACATCACCTGTTGTCTCTGTCCTTCTTTTGTTATACAGTTGTATTGTTGTTGTTGTTTTTTCTTTGTACTACTTATGTCAGAGAGGTAGCTAAATAGCATTTTGTTATACCATATACCTGTATATGAGTATAATGACAATAAACTTGAACTCGAACTTGAACTTGAACTAAAAGGAGAACATGTAAACTTTGAACCCGGGATCCTGAGCTGTGAAGCACCAGCAGTTCCTACAAATTCCTCAAAATAAAAAAATGCATCAGTGAAAGGACAAACAACCCCATAGTGAGGACATATTTTGCATCAGTTGTTGCAATATATGTATATTATAAGCACAAACTATTTACTCAAATCCCCCACTAGTTACTGTATAACAACGTTGACATTTTAGATGAGAAAAAAACAAGCTAGTTATTTAGTAATATTTAAAGTAAATTCCTCACCACATACCCATTAAGTAGAACAAGTGTTAGATCAAAACGACTTAAGGTTCAGTCAGGAATTTACAAGGTGTCTTTCTGCATAAAGAAGTAAAAGCGCTGAAAAGAATAAGTCTGCTTGTCCTGGTGAAATTTTAACTTTGTTAACGAAAATTAATGTTTGGTTCTGTTACTAGTTTAAAGTTTACGTTTTAGAAATACGACTAAACGTTATCTGAGCGAAAAAGGAGGTGTCTGTACTATAAAGATGTGGACATTTTCCATTCAGAGATCAGATAAGAACTGTTTTGCTGTTATATTTCTTACTAGTCAATTTCTTCCAAAAGGTGACTTTCCAAAATACAGTACTTGCCATTTCTACACATTCTGAAGACGTACTTACAGCAGCGGTTAAGATTAAAGAATAAAACAACTTTTTAAACCGCTGTGTATAATTAATATTCACGCGACTTAAAGAGGTAAATATAATCAGGCTATGCACATATCGTGCTTGACTACAGTTGTGTATTGCAGACATATTGACATCTGAAGTAACGACTACTGTATTTTGGTAACGACAATGTATGTTTTTGTAATTTGTCGAAAAATATGCGTATCAAAATACGGCATCGAGTTTTGTGATACAGTGTATACATTTACCAGACTTTTATTATATAATAGCAAGTAGTCTAGGAGGCCTACTGACGTTTTATTTTACTGTGAGCTGATATTGCCTGAACTCTTACCTCTCTATATTGGTTACACGTACACATTTAAAAACAGCGTTACACGGTGATATGTTGTAATTTAATTTGTCAGTATAAAAAAGTAAAGCAATCTTCTCATCCAGAAGATGAGGAGATGAGGGAAGATTTAACTAAGAAGCAAATAAATGATACGATTAATACTGCTAAATCCATAACCATTTCACAACTTGATCGTTGAATTGGCCCTGAGAAAATTAATAAACCAGTCTGATGCAACATTTCAACATTGACCCTACTGGCAAATTCAACACATTACCTCTTCCTTTGTATTTCAATGTTATTGAACCCGATGCAGCGTATACTTGGGTTTCTACCTGATATTGAGTCGGGGTTATTTAAATACTGTTTTGCTAAATTTGCATTATGTTCTAACCTGATGATCAGGTTACAATCTGGGCAATATTCAACTAGTTCTCTCTGAAAAGCTCTCCGACATAAACTGGCAGTTTAGACGTGATATCTTCTTCGGAGACCTTAATATTATTAATACCGTACTTAATGAGGTTGGGTGGCAACATAGATAAAATACAGAGTAGTGTTTGTATTCTCTGGGGGTAAAGATTCATCAGCACCTGGCTTTTTTAAATTTGCATAAGGGAAAAAAATATCTGTAGGCTTTTAAATTATTTTCTTAAATGTGGACCTCAAGGTACTTGAACTTCACACTCAGCAGTATAAGAAAAAAAACGATACAACTTTTGTATTGCCTAATTTCCATTACAAGAATAGCAGAATTAAAGATAAATTTCGCTGATGATTAAAAATGATTGTGGTTTCCATAGTACTGTTACCACTACTTCCAGCGAGAGGGGTGGAGGCAGTTTAACTGAAGGTTTCAAGTGCGAGATAATGCCGGGACATATTATATTAATCACCTAACGTTTTTCTGTTGTAATGACTTTTCCGGTTAGCAGTTGTAATATGTCAGTTTTGTGTTTTTTTTTCTAATTTTCAAGAAACTCCATGTTTAAAGAAAAACATCTGTGCTCCAGGCTCTCAGCAAATCGACAGCCTCCCTTAGAAATAACGACACCCTTTACTACGTTGATCTGGACAGAAACCTATCCCAGCATGCCTGACAGCAGGCAGGAAAGGACGATGAAGCAAAGATGGCAGCACTGAGGGTGCAGTCTGTACGGGGTCAAGAAAAACACAAGGAGCAAACGAAAACAAAGGACGACATAGCACGCAATTAAAAAGTAATAGGAATTGTCATCCGACCCAACAGAACAATATGGCTTGAAATGTTGAAAACCCGGAGTCAATGAATGAATTACCGTACTAAAAAGGAAGGGTATTTCGCATTTGCACCAGGGAGTGTATATACATTTTATGCTGTTCAAATTGGAGCTTGTGGATGTAATGACTTTTTTGTCGCTGTGTTCAAAGGATTTATCCGCTAGATGTACTGTGCTTTTGTTGACAGAGGGAAATAATTATTTATAAATGATTTCGTGGTAATATATATGAATTATTCCAAAATAGGATGATGTGTGCTGCTGCGGCAGCGGGTGCCTGTGGGCTGCTGTCTTCCTCTACTCCTCCCGTGGGGTTGGGTGTCGGGGTCAGTTCTGGAGTCGGATCGGATTTTTCTGGGATTGGATCAAGTATGGGTTCGTGCCCCGGTCCCGGGACCCAGTCAGATTGTCGGAGCCGGTACCAATTACTCCTCTCGGGGAGAGCTTTGGCGGAAAGATACCGGCGGATTTACACCGCAGCGATCAGTGACAAAGAGCAGGGGATAAACCCGGGGAGGTAAGTTCTGATGTTGGAACATATATCGTTACGGATACGTTCGTGTGCGGTTAGACTACCTCTCCTTTCGGGTGCAGCTAAATTCCCATTTACTTAGCTTTGACTGTGCATGCATTTTTGTTTTTACTCTTGTTTTTTGAATGTATTATTTTGCACGGCATTGCACTGTTTTAGGTGTGTGGTCATGTCAAATGTGATTAGCTCTTTTACAAAATGACAAGTGTTGGGTCGGTGCTGTGTAATTGTCAGTTGTAATTAGCATCTTCCGGGTTGTGACGGTCTTGACGAGGTGCCCGCGGTTTGAGTCGTGTGGGCCCAACATCATGGGGCCGGAGTTCCCAGCCCTGCCCCGCAGATTGCTTTCATGAGAGCAGTTGTCGGTGACGGAGCCATGCGGGGACAGGAGAGAATGGTTCCACTGTTGGAATTTGTTAATGTAATGGAAACCTAAGTGCAACTAAAGCGGGGCTTTGAAAACGGATGTGTTTCTTTCAAAACGCACGGTGGTATTTTTAGCGTACGAATCGGGCGCAGACTACAAAAACATATTCCGGAGGCTCTAGTTCAACCCCCTTGAAATGCTTGAAGCTTTCAGTTTCTATTACTATTAAATGAAACGAGGCCTTTTTTTTTCGAATGGCAAATGGGAATATAAAGTCCCCGTCCCATGGAAAGAGAAAGCTACGGTATATTCATATCCTCGTCGTTACCAATAGGTTAGATCGCTTTTCCAGCACACCTTATACCGTTGTGTGCTTCTGGTCAGGGGTTTAGTGAAAGGAAAGAGCAAATCGATTGCTCTTGTTATAATCGGTACGCAAGATGACTGCTACATCATCACGTGAAAAACGATGCTTATGACAGCATACCCTCAATAGTGCTCTAAATCCCCCTTTTTTCTTTTTTAAAACCGTTTTTTTCCCCTTATGAATTACATTCCAGGGACCCTTTAAGCATAACGACAAACACTGAGTATATCGTAATATAATTGCACCTTATTTTCAGCCAAATGCAGAACATGTATTTGGGTGGAGCTTTTTTCCGTTTTTTTTCCCTCTTAATATTGCATAGCTATACCCCGAGTGTAATGTGTTGCTAAACAGAACTGCGCAAGGCAAGTGGTATCTTTTCAGAAGCCTGTTACTGGCATGAGGTGGAATCAGTTCATAAAACCCCTACCGCATTTGGGAAAACCATACGAATGAGGAGTTTTTATTTTGAAAAGCCCTGTCAAGTGTATTAAATTTGCACTTGGCCATTGTGCGTTACATAAGTGTTCTATTGATTTTGCCGTTCGTGGATATCTTGCCCAATTTTTCTAAGGATGAGTAATACCTTACCCTAAACCAATTCTTATAGGGATGAGGGTAATGAAATTTAATGGAATTACATCATGTTCCTTTTCAATGGTATCATTTATTATTGCATGTCGCCAATTTAAACGCACGCTTGAGGATTCAGTTTATTGGTCGCATGATGTAAACACGAGGTTAAAAAGTTATAGTTCTTTTTTGAGTATCTGAGTGTTTTGCTGTCGCTACTCTGTCTGGACTGATGACGTCTTTTGCATGGCAGATATTACTTATTATAATAGAAATAATCAGGATTGAAGTGTGAGATCAATTAGGACAAGTTTAATTTAAAAGGAATATTACATGGTCTAAGACTATTAACTCCGAGTCTGATGATAATTGCTATATTTAGCATAATTACATTTAAATACACTCTTAAGTACATTTTGTTTGTACTTAAACATTTATACTTTTGTATTTTGAAAGTGTTACTTAACTTTCTTCTTGGTTGGCTTGATTCCTTTTGGTACTTTTAAGGGTTTAATTTTTTTGGAGAACTGGCAGAATATCACGTGAAGAAAGGGTTTATAGTGAAACAGTTTAGATTAGTCTGTTATTTACAGTATTTTCAGAACGCGTTGAAACCATAAATCTTTATGAAAATACACCAGAATGCAGTGTTAATGCCCCGCTGCATGTGTGTTATAAATGAAAGCCAAACATTAATCAAATGATCTGGAAGATTCTTTTGAATTTCCAGAAGCATTTGGGTGGTGAGAGTGTGATACAAGCTACACAGCCATGTTTTTGAAGCTGATAAGCTGGCATCTTGTCTAGATGTTAGATGGGCTAAATGGCCTCCAGTTGTTTTGAACCACTTTTAAATTCTTATGAATTTTAACATATTTGTCTACATCGTGGGGAGAGCTCGCCCAGTTAATAATGGGTTATACTATGCTTGTGATCTGTGTTGGAGACCTCCCATTCACTCAAGTGGAAATCGGCGACGTGCAGAGCAGGGCGGCTACAGTGGCTCAAGCCCCTGCCCCTCTGCCCTCATGGGCCCAAGTGCCCGTTTTTGGCTTGTAGAAAAAGTCCAACCAATTTATTTATTTTTTTTGCCACTTGATGATTCTGCTTCTGTATCTAGTACGGATCTCCTGTTAGAAAGAAAAAAAGAAGTTGCACCTAGCTGATCTCTTCCGAGCACAAGTGCCCGCCTCCTGTTCATTGTAAAAAGCGAGGAAAAAAGCAGTGATAAGCAACGTAGGCTACTTACACCTGTGGAGGGCGTGATCACCATTTTTGAACGGTGAGAAGATACACAGAGTTTTTTGAAGGATGGTACAAAAGTAACACACCAAGGGTGTCTGATTGAGAACTTTCTGTTTAAGACAGACTATTTCCACGCACCTATTCTAAGTTTGCAAGCCGACGAACTCGCCACGCTATTGTCTGCATGGCTACCTGGCTAGCTAGACTTGAGATTTCCTTAAGAAAATGTAGTAATATCTTGTCTGTTAATCAAACATAATCAGCAATTATGGACAACCTTTTTTTTTTTGCCAAGGTTGTGAATATAATAATGCCATTGAAGTCAAATCCAAAGTTCCTGTGAAATTAAAAGAAACACAGAAATACAAGCGGGTGCTGATTAGTGTCCAGGATACTCTGTAACAGATCCTGCCCCGGAAAGGGCCCCTTGTGACCTTTTGAGTTACTGCCCACCAAAAGGTCTCTGCACATCTCTGGTGGAAATACACATTTAAACAGTATTTGAATTAAGGCTGAGAACAGTACGTTATTATTGAAAATAAGGATACAGACATGTCAACACAATAGACCTAAAGCATATCTTTTTCCACTTTATTGAGTTTCTCTAAATTAAGAGAAAGAATGACTACCACTCTGGAGAACTGAGTATTCTAAGGATTAAGAGCTCTTACTTTGCACTTTTTTTTGGTTAAAAATAGGTGCGTCTCTAAAGCCTGGGTATTATTTGCGGAAAACAGTGTCTTTGAAGGCACACGTTACATTTATTTGTAATGAAGTACAAAAGTAAATCTACATTTTTCACAGGTTACATGTTTTTGGTGCTATAAGTCAGATTCTGTCCATGTTGTTCAGTTCTGTGATACCAGGTGTAATGCAGTATGGAATAACCGGCTGGTATAACCCTTTCTGTGCAACAAAAGGCTCTAGAGGATGTGTTCTAAGATAGGGGGCAGCTTGAGCTGAGTTTTCAGACTGACTATATGATGAGTATTTTGAGACTGTCATCTCCCCTGAATCCTCAAGTTCTATCAACTCATGCCTTTGGATTGACATTTAATAGGTATTATTTATCCATATTCAGTCAAACTGCTCAATCATGAGTTCACAGTAAATGATTATTGGTTTATGGGGAAGTACAAGCAGTGGTTATTTGTGAAAATGAAGGGGTAATGTGCAATTATATGGGCCTGGTGTAATTGTGGGAGGAGTGCTAGGGTGTGGATAGGAGTGGTGTGAAATGAATTTGAGTAGATTTATGTTATGTAAATTAGTGTTTGTTTGTACTGTTTGTGTTTTTGTACGTTTTTTAGTGCAAAACATGATGTAAGACACATTTCTGAGAAATCGGAGAAAGTGTTATCATCGTAAAAACTCCCTTCATCTAAAGCCACGTTTTCAAAATCTTCGTAAACTAAATCCAGATATTGTGCCATCAAACAGTGAGTTATTGTTCTGAATCATTTGGACACTGATTGATGGTCCGGATGCCATTGAAGATGTGGAGCCATTGGATGCTATTGTGGTTGAAAATGAGAGAGGGTGTAATTATTGCATGAATTGGGAGTGGCTAAACAGCTCTACAATACTTAAAATGTCTTATTACAGTTACAGAGGAAATACAAGGGAACAGGAGTGGTCATGGAACATGCCAATTCTGAATATGTTGACATTTGCTTATAATATCACACTATTTTCCTTATTGCATGATATACTGTAATACCTTTAGAACACAAACCTTTGTTGATAGAACTCCAACAGGCAGTGCTTTAAAGAGATCAAACAAATAGCCTTCTTAATAACTGTGATATTTGACCGTCTTAACACTGACGCATAAAAAGCTACCATCCATCCATTTTCTGACTTCTTCATCAAATTCAGGGTCACAGGGGAGCTGGAGCATATCTTGGCAAGCAGTGGGTTCACGATGGGATACACCCAGAATGGGACGACAGTCCATCTCAAGGCAAACGCATAAACACAAACACGTAGTAACCCCAGGGCCGGTTTTATATGGCTCAGAAATTAGTGAAGATGATCAAAAGGTTTACACGTCAGCTTTTAGGACGCATTATTTAGTCATGGCTATAAAACGTGTTTCTGCGTTGGTTATGCTGTTTTTAGGATGCTTCGGATTTTATTATGCCAGTATACAGGCTTTGTGGAACACCCTTTAACCTACCATGGACTGTAATTATGCTGTCCAAATATTGTAAATGGAACAGCTTACTTAAAAAACCCTAAATCCGGTTAAAATTGCCACAGGAATTCAAATATTTCACCCAAACCGGACCCCTGAGATGTTTGATAGTTACAACGTATTATGTTGTGTTCTATATATTGTGAACTAAGATTAGGTTTAGGGCTATTGAGTTGTTTTGTAATAGGTTCTGGTAGCACAGCCCACCGTGTAGAGGCTGAACTGATTTGTGCCTGTTGTGCTAATCTTTTATATTTTTCTAGTGGCGGATTAACAGTGTAACACGGCACTGAATGCATGATTTTGTTTCATTTTTAGGTGAGCAATTGCTTTAATGGACAGTAACGCATTTGTTGTTGATCCATTGTACCCTTTCAAGGACATTCCTGTAATGTAGTATTCAGTTTCGCATAAGAGAAATAATGAAATCTTTCCATTTATGTATTTGTATTCAGTTAGCAGGCAGTGCATTTCTGAATGTATTGTGTTATAATTAGTGATCACATTGTTAAATTAACTGAGGGCTAAACCTCATATGATGTTAATTTTGTAATCTTCAGAGGACAGTATATTCTGTTACAGCAAAAAGCTGACTTCCTTTTTAGATGCATTTATTTACGTAGTTGTGCAAAATTAAAAAAAGGAATTAAGGAACCCATTCTTTTTTTTAAACCAGTGTTCTGAGCCATACTCCCCTATACCTCTGAACAGGACATGACTCAGACCTGACTCATTTTGTAGTCTAGCTAGGCCAGTTTTGGAATCCTTCATGATGTAAACCTTGAGTGTTTTAGTATCACGCTGTGGTACTTCAAAACGGGCATTTATTTTACCTAACGTGTAAAACCATCGCCAAAAAAGCCCCATTCTCGAATTAGTTGTGACTGTGTTGCAGTGGACAGGATTTATGATTGTGAACGCATACCTCACCGCAGCCCATTTTCCAGTGTCATCATTCCAAAGATGCAGAATGGGATATGTTAATCACATTTGACTGTCTGTAAAATGGATTGCCCTTTACTGCTGTTCACTTCTATGGCCTTGTCTAAGTGGTTATGTTACAAGGAGGAATTACGTTGCCATACGACACCAAAACCTTGATATTTCTAGATGGCGTGTCCATTTGCTTTTTTAGCATTAGTCTTGTATCAAGGATCAAGATTTGTTTAGGATGCCTTTGGTTGAAATCTCCAGTCAGTGCCTGTCTGTTGAAGGGACATGTCTTATGAATGCAAAGGGCTTTGGTTGTTCCACATCTCATGCGAAGATGGGCTTCCACAGTAAAGAGATCTACTTATGTGGGCAAATTTAAAATTGTGGCAAGCTTTTGAAGCTTTTTATTTTCAAGGAAACCTCATAATTCAAAATTGATTCAGTCATTTGTTGAAATCATTGCCTGCCTGTCGCTTGCTTTGCTCTTCATTGTGTATGACTGATCAAGTAGTTCTCATGATTTCTTTTTCCTGATATTTCTGAAATAACAGGTTTCTGATCCTTAATTTGCTTATTATAGTAGAAGGCGGTTTGAATTTTTAAGGCCATTCAGTAATTCACTTGTAGTCCTGTTTTAAATAGTTTTGGCATTGTTAATCTCAAAGGTTTTGTAAAGCAAAACCAAATCCAGAGCACAGGAAAATAGAGTGCGACTGTCCAGTGACTCATGGTTTTTGCAGGAGAAGAAGCATGTGGTATATTTTTGCAGTGTTGTGCAACACCATCGAGTGGTTCTGAGGCACATAATCTTGTGGTGTCGTGGCTTTATATTGAAATGTTATTAAATATATGCTCCTGTTTACAAACTGAAACGGTCCCTTAAATATATGAGATCTACGACAATTGGTTTGAGTTAATTTACTCAGCTATGACAGTACATATTAGTAATTACATACTTGTTAATAATGAACATTACAAAGAGAGGCTCATTTAGCCTCTCTAGCCCATTTGGTTTTCTAACATTTTTTTAAAATAAGCCAGTCTGTCACATTTATCGCCAAGGCAAGTTGGCTTGTTCCATCCTCCTACAACTCTTAGGATAAAGTGATTTCTCTTCTCAGTTTTAAACTTTAACTTCCAATACAAATTGTGCCCTCTGATTCACTGTTATTTTTGACGAAATCCAAAAAATGAACTTTGTCACTGCCTTTGATTCTTGTATCATGAATAGAAAAGACTACAAAGGCACAAGACTAAAACATTTCTGTTTCTTCAGTCTGTGAGTCAGGGACTTCCCCTAAACCCATTTAACTTTCAGTGCACAGTTATACAGAAAAAAATCTTCCTTCTTTTATGCTATTCAATTAAATGACGTAGGGATTTTTTATTCTGCTATAGCTGTTACAGTATTTCATTGGCTTCCAAGACATAAGGAAAGAAAGCACTGAGAAATCAATTTTCTTAATTTCAGATCACATCTAATTCAGTCAATTAAAGGGTACCAGGTTCATTTTCACCACATTGCGGTGCTCTCTGAGCTCTAGGGTTTTGAGACTGTGGTCATATAAAAATTGAGTGTAAAAAAAAAAAAGTAGGCATTTTATTTTGTTAGGAGATGCACAATAACATTTGAGAAATTCATAGAACTTCATCAAACATCCATCTGAAAGTCATTCCTTTACTAAAGACAGATGTTACTGCAGTTTGGGTTCTGAAAGGCATTCTGTGGTCTGAATGTTTTTGAAGACTTGCCTTGGTGGTATAAGGCCTGTATTTAATCAACCAGTGCCAGCTGGTGTGCGAGGTGTATTGCTATGCAGCTGCAGCTCTCCGTGATGCTGACCCATTAGGCTTCAAAGGCAACTTCAGCATTGTAACAATAATGTGTTGTTTTTTCCTTTCAGTTTTTTTTTGTTACAGAATTACTAGTTTTATATACATTCTGATGTTCAGAAATCCAGGTGTTTTCCAGAACAGCTGTCTGATGTTTGCATTTAAGATTGCCTTGTTGCCTTATGTTATGTCCTGTTATGTATTAAAATAAAATATTTTTGGGAACGGTGGAGGTTTTAACAGTGTTTTCTTTTGTTACATCAGGGGCAAGAAAGCACTAAGCAAGAAGAAGCTGAAAAGAAAACAGAAGGCCAAATCAAAAGTTAAATCAAGAACAAAGGTAAGTCAAGTGTTTGTGAAGCTTGTCTCTGTGGATAATGTATTAAAATATCAAAACACAAATTAAAGGGTATGCCAGTAGTTAAGGAAATATTGTAGTATATGACATTTCTCAACTTAATATGTAAATCACAGATGATCTACAAATTTGCCTTTAATAAAGGTAAGGCAGACTAAAAGACATTTGTCTGCGAAACATTTATACTGCGGTTTTGCTCTGGTCTAATTTTATTTGATTAAAATCTGGTCTTTTTAGTGTTTGAATCAAGTGTTATAGACAGGTGCCATCCAAAAAGAATATTTATGACAACCATAAGAGTTCTGATAGTTTAATTTTAAAAAATGTTCCTCAAAAATCAAGAATGTAAATTAGTACAGATTAATACTGAATAATATACAAAACATTATTATGAGTTTGGTTAGTTTTAAATGCAGGATGTTTTACAGAACAGATTGAAATTGTGCCCCCTTTTTAAAGAAAGTGTTAAATTTTTGTGTTTTGGTAATAAAAACATCATTCTGGCTCTACAATGCTAAATGTCGCTGTTTGATACTGGACAGAAATGTAACTGAACCTCTTCAGCAAGAAGCCCATATTTTTAAAAAATGCAATAGTGTGAGATGCTGAGGGGTGAATTAGCAATTTAACTTCAAAGAATGAGACCTAAACTAAATCACATTCTGCAGGACCAGCAGTTTAAAATACCAAGCACCCTAAGGACCACACACACCTAAGGAACAGGGGCATACATAATGCCTGGTCGTGGAGGGCTGCAGTCTGTCAGGTTTGATAGGTAACCTATAATCAGTGTTGCAGTTATTCAGTGTTTATTTTGCAGTGACATACCCATCTTCAAAAGACAATTAGCAGCAATTGCATCTTCACTGCTTCCAGCTTTAGCTATATTTGTTTATTGTCCATTGGACACAGCAGCACTTTTTAAAGCAGAATTAGTTTAAATAATGGAGTTGTGGTTAAATGCTATGGAAATCTCTGTTCTGTTGAATAGAATAATGCAGGTAAAACCATATATATGTAAACTAAAATGGAAGATTGAAACAATTTAAACGGGCTCTGGAATTAGTGATTGGCATAACCTGTGGACTGTGCTTGAGACAGAGAGGGAGCCCTCCCTGTAATGGGGAAGTGATAACCAGCTCGCCCTGCTTTGTAATAAGCAGATGTTTTGTGTTTTAAATCGGGAAATGGAATTTGCCAAAGGCAGGATTAAAGCGTCGTCATGTGAACGCAAACAGTGGACCACTGTGTAAAACCAATGTGTAAAACTAGTGGTAATGTACTGTAGGCCAAATAAGTGAACAGTTAATGCAGTCATTAGGAGTCCAGGGAGAAGTGAAAAGTGGGAGAGGCAATGACACACCAGACCGAGGAGTGATTATTAGCACTCGAATGGAAGCTGTAGCTAGCAAACCTTTTCCACTACTGTAACTGTGAATGTACAGTAAAGACAAAGTACATAAAGCATACAGTGAATAATTGTAGAGGATGAAAAGGGAATAACATGTATTAAATGAGTATGTTAATGCATTAAAAATATAAGAATTAACAATATGCCTTATGTTAAGGATGGGCCTTATATGAATATTGGCAAATGCTCAAAATACCTTTTGAACTGCCATAGAAATTCAAAAAGATATTGAATAAAATTCAGTACTTGGTAGACAGTAGTGCAAAATATTACATGCAGGTACCAAACACGTAAACTACAATTAAAAAATAAGAATAAGATTAAATAAGCTACTTATGTAAAAGACGTAGGTGTCTGTCAACCTTTTGTAGTTCTTGAATATGAGGAATCGGCATTAGGATATATAGTTGAGATTGTAGAATTTATATTAAGGGATATTATGTTTAAGTTGGACACTCGTAACTCCCCATTTAAAACATTGTTTAGTTTTGGTCACCACAATACAAAAATAATTTCTGCTCTGAACTCTATCCAGCGATAAACGGGGTCATTCCTGGGCTCAAAGAAATGTACTGCACTAACCGGTTGAAAGATCTAAATCCTTTTAGCCTTGAACAGAAAAGACTCAAAGGGAATCAGTTTCAAGATTTCAGAATCCTTATAGGCATTGGCAAAGTCAACCATATGACCTCCTTCAGAATCAATAGTGAAACATGAAGTCACAAAATAAGGGAATGTTCATTTCAAATGGATGACCGGATGCACAATGTTACTTAAAGGCCTGGTGAAGTCTGAAGCAAACTATCCAGCCATCTTGTCAAAGCTGACACCATCATCAATTTCAAGAAATTGTTGGATGTGATCCTCAGATTAGCTTTTAATAACCAAATGAGCTTGATGGGCTAAATAGCTTCTTCTTGTTTGTAAATGCTCTGAACTGATTTTACTTTTTCAGTTCTATCATTCAACTGTAATAGTGCATCTGAGTTAGATGTATAAGTAATATGAGGTCCATACATTTTGAACCAGCAATTTATAACACCTCTTTAGATAGAGGAAATGAAAATTAAAGGTGGTTCAGTTTTCAGCGTTGAAGATTTTCAGCATATACCAGTAGTAACCAGTCATCCTACTGCAAGGTTTGGAAAAAGGAAAATGACATGACCTACTTGCACTTCCAATTTCTCAGACGGGTTACAAAATCCCGATAACAAAATAAATGTATTGACGATGTCACAAACTTTTTACAAATTCCGAATTAAGCACAAAATCGTAAACTTTGTGAAAATACTGCCAGTTGCTATGTTGTCGCAAACCCCTGGTCTCGTCATGAGACGAGAACGAGAGTTTGCAAAAATTGAGACGTGAAGCAGCCCTTCCTGCTCGCAAGTCACTGTAAGGAGTAATGTAATGTACAAGTGAATAAGTGCAGAAATGTTCCAATGTGATCTGCATGTAGAGTTAACAACTACTGTAAGTAGCAGTAAAACGGTGTTGAAGATGCAAGCAATATTTGTATTGGATTAAAGAGATGTATTCACAAGCCTGCTTGTTTACGATGTCAGAAGGCCACTTCACGTCAGCAGAAGTTTTGTTGACTCGTTCTGAATCTCGGAGTGTAGTGCTGTGCATACCTGGAACTTTTGGCTACTTTGTAATGTAAATTGGAGGTTCTACATGCTGCCATGTACATTTTACTTTCATTGTGGTTTGAAATGCACTCATCAATACTGATTCTTTCTAACCCTGAAATATTAAAATAGCTTTGCAGCACTCTTTTAATGTTTTATGGACAAGAACTAATCTGAATAAGCCTGAAATAATGATACAAGAAGATGTATCATTACTAAAGATGAAAAAGTGGTTACTACAATTTTGCCCATGGATCTATTTTAGGTTGCCATAGTTCATCCACAGATTTGTCAATGACTTATTTACAGGAGCTAAAGTTACTGCTGATAATAAGGAATAAAATTCAGTTAAATCAGTTGCAGAATATTGCATAGAGGTAACAAGGATGTGCTTGAACGGAGATCCTTATCTTGGAGAAGTAATTTCTAAGGAGGATTTGGGTATTTATAAAGACAATACAAAAGCCTTTAGGATCAATAATGGCTTTAAGAACAAGATGTTTGGGTATTGTAAATTATGTATAATATAAATTGAGAGAACTTGCATTAAGATTATAGAACAGTCTGCTGAAGTCTCATTTAGAATATTGAGTATAGTTTTCATCTCAGTCTTAGAAAGTTATATTACTGCTTTGCAATTTGATAAAAGAAGAGCAACAGGGTTAACTATAAGCCCTACAAAATGGGCAGTTTTCGTCCTGGAGGTCTGGGGTGTCTGCAGATCTTCTAGGGCACTTTAAGGCACCTGCAACATAAAGGCTGGGAGAAGTTGTTAAATGGATCCCATTAAACCACTAATTATCTGATTTAGGTCACTAAGAGCTGAGCTGGAATGAAAACCTGCACACCAGCCTTCCTAGACAGGCACTGCATTGAGAAATTTAATCATTGTAGTCCAGAAATTAGACAATGCAAGAGTTTGATTAAAAAATATTAGAACCTGCAAGATACTGGTAGTTAGCCCAGAGGCCAATAGCGTAACAAGGATTTGAGTGCAAATTTGGGAATGAAAAAGCAGTAGTGAAACCTTTTTGTAGAAAGAATTATCCAGAATACTCTATCTAGCTGTATCATTGATGCAGATTCTCAAGAAAAGGTTAGATGTGATCCTCACATCAATAAGCTGCAATCAATTGAGAAAAAACAGCTAAATAGCCTCTTTTTGTTCCTAACATTTATGTTTGCATTATGAAGTTGCAGTATTTGCTAGTGTAAGACAGAAAAAAATCCCAGGTACAACTACATTTTTATCACTTCTTCAGGTAAAATTTAGACTTGTTTTAATTTCTTTTCACTCAGCTTATTCAGAAGATTAATGACCAAGTTCTCCTGCTTGTGATGTGAGAGTACTCTTGTTATTTCATATTGTTTAGGTACTACTAGGCCTTTTTCCCCAGCCCAAACAGTTTCTATGTTAGTAGTTAAAACATTCTACAGTACAGTTTCTCTTTCAACACACTGTAAACTGGTTTAGTCTTAGGTTCTGTCAGATTAAAGTTATAACATTGGAAGAAGCAGTATTTATTAAGTCAAGCTGGAGCTCTTTAACATCTACATAGTGACAAGAACCTCAAAATCTCATCTGCTATCTGATTTTTATTTCTGCTGTGACAGAATAGATTTGCAATGCTTATTATAAAACAAATTCATTTCTGTTAGATGGGGTGAAAATAAAACTTACTGTGGTACATATGTTAATAGAACTTTAATAGCTGAGGCACAGTGGGTGCTCAGAAAACTCAAAGCCACATCCTTGTTTTCTTTAAAACAAGGATGTGATGAAACTTGCAATTTTCAATTCAGATTTTCTGTACTTGGGGAATTTCTGAACTCTTTGTTCTTGATTAATGTTTTCTTGACCTTAAGAATGGGTTAGTCTCATAAAAATGTGTTAAACCGGGGAGATTATGTATTTTTGATTTACAATAAATAAATTATAA